TTTCAGCCATATGGCGGTCCAGACTCGTCAACTGAACCACCATTGATGATGCGGAAATCGGTAAGCCCCAGCCAACTTCTACCGCGTCACTGCATTCTCAATTTTAGTTCAGCAAAAACCAAAATTCCATGCCTGAACAGGCTATCCAACCTTTTGTTTTCGTTCTCGTTTGGGCTCTCTCTTCCACCCCGCTGCTGGGAACTACTATAGATCTTGCATTGCCAGACTAGCGCGGCACCCTTTCACCTCTGGCATCGTTCCACCTCCACCATATTACAGCATCACATCATATAGACACATCGCATACCTATATTCATACCATGGCATCTTTCTTCCTCTTCCTGTGGTCTCTTGGTAGTCCACTTCTTTCTGTCCAGGCCGGCCTCAGATGACCTTTTGGATTAATACCGGTAGCAGGCATTGGTTTGTATCTAGTTCGGGATCGTCAGCTCTGCTACACTTCTAGTCCTATAATATAATGAATTGCAGATATCTCTTGGACGAGCACTACTGGGAGTCTTGAGCTGTTGCTGTGTGTTACCGTTGCTTCGTTGCCTGGCTGAGCCTCATATGATCATGATCATCGGGCTTTGTGAAGTTAAGGTTAAGTTAGCATCACCACCCGTCGTCCCTGGACCCACAGGGACCCGCAGGTGACAGGTCGGTGATGCGCTTCCACGTGGACGACCTCTCGATAGCTTGGTGTTGACAGGCTCCCGCAACCGAGATCGTTCTCATACGATATTGGTGAGCCGCTCCTGTCTATGTATACGTTGTCCCGATCGACAGTGTCACCCTCTTTTTCTATAAACCTGAATGCACTGCCCGCCAATCAGCCGCTGCTTGATCGGCTGCATCAAAGTTGACTCGACCAGGCTAGCCTCTTATATTGGATATGACAGTCGACACCATAAGACTCCTGTCCCGACCTGGGCCGACCAGAGCGAGCTCGTGGCGCTCGACTCGTATGCTCTCATATATTATAAATACAATTGTTTGACAAGCACTGTCACCGCTGACGTTGGCAGGGCGCATCATTCCGGGTGCCATCCTGTAAATTTGGTTGTCCCGCACGAACACGATGGGACCGAGCAGGATGGCAAGTCCTGCCAATTGGGCTGTGTGCAACAATAACCCTCTCTCTCAGGCTGGTGCTCGGCCCTTTCCGGTCGTGTCCATTTTTTTCGGAGTCGATGAGGTGGCTCCAGCGAGAACCCCAAGGGTTTCTCCGAGTCCAGACTCAGGTTCGAATCGCCCAGCAAGGAAGACGCTGGACGGTATGTTGTGCCACGTACGCTCTCGTACACTTGCCATTCAGAGCTACACTTTGCACAGTGACTCTATATGGTTCTTACCCCGGAGGGCATCTGGATGCCGATTCGAGCAAGGAACCTTAGGAAGTCCTGGGGATCGGGCGCTTCCAAATGAAATCGTCATCACCGGTGACTCACCGCCGCCATCATGATGTGGGGTATGCTTCCCAACGGGCGCGCGAATATGCCAGGCTAGCGACCCTCCTCCGGTTCGTCAAAGCATTCAGTTCGAAGTCTACCCACCATTGTCCAATGTTTTGCATTCAACATCCTGGGCCCTGTTTATAGCATCCTGTAGGAGAAACCAAGGTAAAACCCTGTCAACGCCACAAGATCTTCGCACGTGGACAACGTTTTCGAGGATTAGGGCTCCAATGATGAACGTACCTGCCATTTAGTGCGACCATTGCCATGGGAGCGTTGCCCTGAACATGGCCAAACCCAGGGTGGAGGCCCCCTTCTACCAGTACACGTAAAAAAGCTCAATATTCTCATTGTCACCTTGTGCGACATTCATATATTCTCAAGCCCCTGACGCGGGGGCGGTGCCACACAGTCAAGTGATATATTGCGCCAGCTACATGCCATCTCAGGGAATATCCTGGGCATTTTTTTCTGGTCTTGCGATACGTCACTGGTCAGCTGTCATGACAGCCAACAAGTTAAGTGCGCTTCTATGCATTCATTTCGAACAACAGACTTTCTTCGTCCTATGTATTTCCCTACACGCCTCGGCATTTTTATGGTATGTCCTGGCCGCACGGGGCTTGTCGAGTGAATTAAAACCATGCTCGTACGGAAATAGGTCGGTCATTCCCTCGCCTTCTGCCGTCGTCGAGCTAAGTATACGCATTACTATCACAGGTCTGTTGACCTTGTTAACACAGGGGCTGCTGTTACGGTGTGATGCCTAGGCGCAGTGTACAGGACGGGTAATTTACCTTGGACAAGGCACACAAGCAAGATCTGGTCAGTCGAGCGTCTTCATGAAACCTAAATATGCTGAAGGGGTGAGGTACAGACCCTGTTTTATCGGGAACTCGTGATGCACTGCAGTGCAATGCAATCTCCGCCGTTGTAAGTCTCGTGGTCAGGTTGGTGAAACAGAGTCATTAACTCGAGAAGTGGTCTAGTGATGTCCGTTTCTATATAGTAGTACGTCAGCTTATAAAGACGCCTTGCGCACCTCCGGACTCTTAGATTGAACATATCAACTGTCATATGTGTTATATTAAGGTCTGCATAAGAGACCACTCCAGACTTGCAGATACTAAGTCGGTCAGTGGCGCACAAGGCAGTAACTTGAAAGCAGTAAGTAAGCACGTGTTGGAGACGCGTGCTGCTGCGCACCCTGTTTCAACCTTCGAGTGCAGCTCTCGGCGCGTCTCTGATGGGGGTTGGGGGCGAAAGCTATTGATGAAGCGGTCGGAACCTTCGGAAAGTAGTCGAAATACTATTTTTTCCGTCGTGGTTGCGTTTTGTTAGTGTGCTGGGCAAGAACAATCAAGTATGTCAGACTCTTGTAGAGAGACCGTGGTGAATGCGCCACGGTCACGTGCATCAGAACATCGATCGGGAACCGGGTCGGGCGCTTTGCTACGTCCTGTTCTTATGATAGCTCAACAACTTGATGTGCAACGTCGCGTTTCAAGTTGAAGCTGGAAGTCGCGATAGCTGCGACTGAGATGTATAACGACCGGCTAGACGTTTTCCATCATGGTTTCAACCATTGATTGACACGTTCACTGCAGCCCCTGCCAGTGAGCTCTATGTTGACAACGTATCGCGCATATATTTGGCGCAGAACTCACGTCCTGTGTTGGTTTCTCGTGGGTCAACCCAGGATATTACGGAATATTGTCCTGGCGCTTTCGAGTGATATCCTTAACTCACCTTCCACCTAGCGCTACATGGACGGCTTAGACAAGCTTGTGGACGACGTCCTGATCCAGGTACTTCAGACATTACCTGTTCATGCCGTCTTGTCGCTAAGAAAAGTGAGTAATCATGCTCCAAGGAACCGCTTTTTCGCTAATGCGGGTATGGAAGACTTCGCGACGCTACTATATTCTCAGTAAACTACGCTGCGTCTGGTACACAAAGTTTTGTACCGAAGTCTTGGCGTGCAATTTGCCGCCTCCGGGACCCCCATGTCCCGTTTCGCTTCTTTCTTCTACTGACCTCGAAAGCCGCACGTTACGTGCACTATATCTCGAAAATCGTTGGCCGCGACTCTCTGCTAATACCATAGTTTACAAACAGCGAGACGAGAGAGTGGATCAAGTCGTATTTATGCCTGGCGGCGCAGAATTTTTGACCGTCCAGAACAACAAGCTTGTCTACTGGTATATCGTCAGTCGCCCGGGCCTTACTCAGGGACTCAAGAAAGTCGCCGAGTGGGTCGCCCCTGAGGCGGTATCCTGTAAGGTCGTCAAGGATTGCGAGAACCCGGGTGTCATTGCTGTTGGACCAAGAGAACAGTGAGAGCGATTTTTTTTCTTTCGTCACCTTTCCACTAACCTTGATAGGTCTAACGGCTTCGCTAAGGTGCTTACGTTGAGCCTGAAGTCTCCCTTCGCAACGCTCTGTGAATATTCCCTTGTTCCAGGGGTCATCGCGGGCATCTCGCATCATTTACTATTACTCGACACCACTGGTGAGCCTGACGGCGGAGGTCTCGAGCTGCTGGACTGGCATGCTCAGACGACCGGGACGGCTCTTCTCCCTTGTATTCCCGATCTGGTAAGTGCAACGGACCAACATTGAGTCGCCAGACACTGAGACATGTATTGTTCGATGTAGTTTGGCGGCTTCGTTGACTTTGTCCTATTCTCAGACCATATACTTGTTGTATGGGAGTATTGCATGAGCGTCTTCCCTGTTCCCGAAGTTCCAGCCCAAGGTCAAGCAATTATTGAGCACAACCGAGTTTTCATATTCCATGAACCAATCAGCCGACCCGTCGCTTTCACGACATGCGCTACACGCGGCTCACCTGATCCATATACCAAGCGACCCCGATCTTCCCCAATCGTCCCGCACTCCCTCACCATTGCAGCACGCGCGAAGAGCAAGGCCAGTAGAGTGCTATTGTTCGTGCTAGTGCGTCTGACCGATGGTGATGTCGGCGAATCCATGGCGTTCCCGTACCGCTTGACGTGGCTGGCTACAGATGTTCATGGAACATTGGGAGAATCGACGGCTGCGCGCATCTCGCAGACATGTACCAGCCTTTGTCTCGGGTCGTCCGGTCGTGGAATATACGTAGTAGGCAGGGAGCTGAGACTCTGTGGACTCGGTCTACTCTTCCTTCCGCCGTACGAGATGCAACTTGGACCTGTCTTTGAGACAGGGAAGGCTACATATCTTATGGACGAATTATGCGGAGATAGCGGGGCGAATGGAGACAAGGTGGATTTTGACGAGGGAATGGGTCGCTTTGTAGTGGCGAAGAGAGATGGAGGTTTCGAGGTTGTACAGTTGATTTAGACTTTTTTTTTGATGGTGAGGAGCTACTACTATTATTATGGTGCATTCACATGTACTATATTGTACCATAGGAAAGTGAAATTTCGACTGTGTCCTCCCTCGACATCAAAACAGCAGACACCCTTTGTTGCAATGTCGGGACAGGGGAAATGAAATAGGACCAGTGGGTTGTCTTGAATATAAATGGTACATAATTATGGCAAGATGGCCGAGCGGTCTAAGGCGCTGGAATCAGGTCACGTGAGAGTTCACACACCTTATCCAGTCCGAAAGGGCACGAGTTCGAATCTCGTTCTTGTCAAAATCTTTTTCATGTTCTTCCCAGATATTATACCGCCTCCTCATCACAACAAGACATACCGGAGTATCGCTGTCCAAAGGTGGTCCTCTTGCATTTGTCCTGCCCCCTGCCAAGTTGCTTGAGCTGAGCAGTAGAGTGAGCGCTACTCTTATCTATCTGTACAGCTTCCATGACTTCTCTCACACTCTGTCTTGGTAGTCTCACTGTTTACTCATGGTTGTAACCTTGAGATTTGCTTCCGCTTTGGGAGGAGCTTAGTGACCACTAGCACGCGACTGCTAGCATGGGCATCGGTTCGGGACCGTTTACGATAGAAGGGCTAAGTGGATGCTAGCGTGAGCACGGAACAATCGTGGGGTTAGTTTGGCTTGATGCTGGCCGCTTCTTGAATCTTCGTAGTGTCGGAGATCGAGAACTGGTTTTCGGCGCTATATCTATCTTCCTTATCATCGTTGACGGGTCGACATTTCACCTATATTTTACTGATAAGAGCCGAGTTTCATTTATATAGCGAGTCAAAAGTGCAGGTTGCTGGCTTGGCCGACACCCTGCTTGAACTGACATTGCGCTCTCCTCTTCACAATGTCAACGGACGCGCTTCCCCAAGGTGCTGGCTATGGAGTTGGTAAGTGCAATACTAACTGTTGTTATGGTGCGAGCTAACACCTGCATTTCCAGTGGTCGGTAAGTATTATACTTTGGGAAGAACTTTCAGTAGTAGAATGGTTTCTCATGCATTCCAGGAATCGGTTTGTTCTTCAGCGCCTTTATGGTCTGCTTGACGGCCATCCAGGCCAGATACACTGGAGTATCACCAAAAAGCTCAGAAGAGTTTTCGTCGGCTTCACGGAGTATCAAACCAGGTCTAATCGCTTCTGGAATCGTGTCTGCCTGGACATGGGCAGCAACACTGGTAAGTTCATTTGTGGCAAATGTAGATGCAGGGTACCGAACAAACATCGTTAGCTTCAATCTAGTGCAGTTGCTTATAGATATGGCATATCTGGGCCGTGGTGGTATGCTGCAGGCGCCACTGTACAAGTCCTTTTGTTTGCCCAGTTGGCCGCGAAGCTCAAGCTCAACGCTCCGTACGCTCACACATGGCTGGAAATCGTCGCTACACGGTGGGGTACTGTTGCTCACCTTATATTCATGTTTTTCGGTCTCGCCACGAACCTCATCGTCTCCTCCATGCTTGTTCTGGGGGGGTCAGCTACTGTCACAAGTCTGACTGGGATGAACACCATCGCTGCATGTTTCCTGATTCCTCTCGGAGTCGCGATCTACGTGGTGGTTGGTGGAATGCGGTCTACGCTACTCTGTGACTAGTGCGTGATTCGTGATTGTTCAACGTTCGCTCCTTATAGCTCCCCAATCTAGCACGCATACCACAGTCCTCTTCGCTATCATCCTTACGTTTGTGTTCGTGGTATACGCAACGTCGGATCACATTGGTTCAATCAGTAAAATGCACTATCTCCTTTCGGAGGCCACAGCCAAGATGCCGGTTTCTGGAAACGCGGGAGGATCTTACCTTACAGCTCCGTTCCGTGGATGGCCTCATATTCGGTGTCATCAACTTGATCGGAAACTTCGCTACTGTCTTCCAGGACCAGGCATACTGGCAACGTGCGATTGCCAGCCGACCTGCGACGACCGTTAAGGCATACCTCATTGGAGGAATGGCCTGGTTTGCTATTCCCTTCGCGTTCTCAACGACGCTCGGTTTGGCCGCTGTCGCTTTTGGATCTGTTCCCGCACCGTCGTCCCCTACACAAGTACCGTCAGCAAGTGACTTCGTGCCTATGCTTGCGCCTCTATCCCAAGCAGATATTTCGGAGGGACTCCCAGCTTCTCTTGCTGCTGCAACGCTTTTGGGGCAGAGCGGGGCAGCAGCCCTGCTCATTGTCTTGTTTTTGGCTGTGACCAGTGCAACGAGCGCCGAGCTGATTGCCGTCTCGTCCGTCTTGACGTATGACGTATATGTGGTAAGCCACTTTTGTGCATAAGCACGTCAGAAAGGGTTGAAGCTGTGTAACAGAGGTACATTAACCCCCAAGCTACAGAAGCGCAAATTTTGCGAATGAGTCATGCTGGGGTATGTGATCTTCTACTCCCAGATTTGAGCAAACCTTCTAACGACTCGTTTATAGGTTGCCATATTTGCCCTCGTGATGGCTCTCGCTGGTGTCATCTTTTTCTATATCGGCGTGTCGATGGGGTGGCTCTATGTATGTCAAGCCCCGCATTTCCACGTCAATGAATCTGAACTTACCTGTCCCAATGGACCAGACCTTCATGGGTGTCATCCTTGGTTCGGCCGTCGTTCCCATCGCGCTTTGCATCACGTGGAGCAAGGCCAGCCGTGCCGGATGCATTGGGGGTTCCGTTATCGGTTTTGTAGCTGGAGTTGCCGCATGGCTCGGTGTCACAGCTGGGCTCAACGCAGGTGTTATCAACGTCACAGTAAGAAATTCGTCTGTCATCCCTAATAGAGGATTACTCATACCGAGCCCATTGGTAACAGACAAGCGGAGGTGCGACGAGCTCTTGTAGAGATCGCGAGTGACGTCTGTACTGATACGTTTGTGAACAGGTAACTATGAGATGCTTGCAGGAAACCTTGCATCGATTGCTATTGGAGGAATTGTAGCTGTCGCTGCATCTTTGATTGTAAGTCAAGATTCATTGCCTTGTGATGAGCGCGAGAAGTGCTGACGCTCGAAACAACTCTCTCAGTGGCCCGAAAGTTATGACTTCGTTGAGACACGTGCCATCAACTCGCCCGCGTCTCGCAAGAAGCCTGCTGACGACGCCGAGGAGGCTGAGGACGAAAAGAAGGTACCGAACTCCTCGTCGTCGTCAGTCTCGAACGCCGCTACACAGCTAGAGAGCGAGCTTGATCCTGTGGGGCTCACAAAGGCTTTCAAATTTGCCGCGTGGTCGTCTGTTATAATGGTGCGTCACGCGCCCCAGGGTTGACTGCGACTCGACTTTTGACTCCTGGTTTTTGCTACGTGTTCGTAGACCTTGGTTTTCATGATCCTCATCCCACTCCCTCTCTTCGGAGCTTCAACCATCTTTAGCGTTCGCGGGTTCACGGTTTGGGTCGTGGTTGGGATAATCTGGACGTTCTGTTCAGCCTTCGCTGTGGTTTTGTATCCTCTCTGGGAAAGCAGACAGGCATTGGCAATGATTTCAAGAGGAATGATCAAGGTGCTGACCTCTGTTCGTGATCTATGGGAATGCTCACTCAACTTTTCTTCTCTTGACTCTTCAGGATCTCTTTGTATGGGGTTCCGGGAAGTACGTCGCCCCTGCCGGTACAAAGACGGAGGCCTCAGCGTAAGGTGATGAGCGTTAGCGATGATGACGAACGACTATTAGATCACCTGTATATACAGTAACGCAGATAAACTATGCTTTAATCGCTCGCGGAGTCGTTCTTTGTTTCTTTGCGCACTGGTCAGGAACCAGTGGCGAATGAAAGGATGGGTCCCGTGACTATATAGTAGGATATGGCGGAAGTTTCCTTTTGCGTCCTTTTAGCCTGAGTCCGTCTTGAACTCGCGCGTTCAACGACCTCCACGATTACGCCAACGTTGACCGAACATAGACGTGTTCACAGCGATGGCTCAACCGCAGGGCAGTCCTGAGGACCTAGGTCGTCAAGCCTCACTTCCCTGGACGCCAGGTGAAGGTGGAGAGGGCCTTATGCAGGCTATACAAGCTCTGGAGACGTACAAGAAGAAGGACCCTTCGAAAGGTCAGTACCGCGCTTGATGACGCGTTCCTAACGGAGACCTGATGGCAAAACCATAATGTACAGTGATTGTGCGTTTCAAGGCGGTCGGAAACGCCCCGATCATGAAGCAGAACTTTTACAAGATCACGGCTGCGAACCGATTTCAGGCTGTCATTCAATTTTTGAGGAAGGAGCTGGGGTGGAAAGCTGGGGATCCATTGGTGCGACCCCCTTTTTGTCGAATGTGAAACTTTGTCGGCTCAGTATTTATTCGCGAAGTTCACATACATCAACTTGGCATTCTCGCCGGCTCCTGATGATACTGTGTCAAACTTGTTCAAGGTAAGTCCGTAGCCAGCTTGTCGTCATGCGATTGTACGCTAAACCGATTTCAGTCTTTCGCAACGGATGGACATCTCATAGTAAACTACAGGTCTGTCGCCCTTATATTCACCATTTGTACCGAGTGTCTCAGATCTCGAATAGCACAACTGCAGCGTGGGGCTGATCGCAACGGACACAGTACCATCTCATGCTTGAGCAACCACTACGACACATCGTTTTGTGCACCTACTTCGTCATCAACGCATAGGGGTACGGAGAGATATACACACCTAATGACGGATATACAGGGGATGCTCGAACTAATCTACCAGCTACCACGCTGAAACGTGTATATAGAGCGTCGACACCCACGTAATGGTACTTCTCATCGAGAGCTTGATCTTCCGTTCGGCTTAGACGCGGATGTTCTTTCTCTCCCGGGACACGGGTTTAAAGCGGATGCTTTTGGTCGTTTGCGAGGTCGTCCGTTCCATTGACCATGTCATCATCTTCGCTGTCCACCAGCATCGCAGACCAGCTTCCAGACGCGCGGGCTTCCCCGACTCGGAAGCGATTTGAGGCAAGCAGGGTATCGGTGGGGAATGTAACAATATCAACATTGCGTAAAGCTAGATCGGAAGACGTCCTTAGGAGCGCCCGCTAGAAGAAGTGGATGGACCAGCATTCATAGTAGAACTGGAGGGCCCTGCGAGCGACAAAGAGTATCTGCTTCCCCAACGTACGAACCTAATTGAGCGAGGAAGCGCAGCCTCGTTACTGAAATCAGCTTGGGTGCAATTGGTGGCGCAGGCGACGACAACCTGTACCTGTGTGCATCTGAGGTTCCTGTGGTGTACGAGATCCGGGACCACTACATTGCAACTTCTTCTCCAGCGCATCCCGCTCCCTCACCACCTTCCGCAGCTGTCGC